GATGAATGATGAATGATGAATGATGAATGATGAATGATGAATGATGATGATGAATGATGATGAATGATGATGATGATGATGATGATGACGATGATGACGATGATGACGATGATGACGATGATGACGACAATGATGATGGTTATGGTTAGGTTGCAGACCTTTCCCCGAAACAGATCCTCGCCTCCCAGGTGAAGTCCTTGAGCTTCGATCTGGCCTTCTCCATGTTGCCTGGCCGATCCATGCCGAGCCCCGTGAAGTCACGTGGGGTGCTTCTGGTATCCCTCTAGGTCCTCCGAACTCGTCGGATTGGTCGTGGTCACACTCTGAAGAACGAGGGTGCCATTCCAAACAGAGTCCAGTCATGACTCATTGATGCCCTGAACTGCTAGTGGTGGATTATGACTCCCAAGTGGGGTAAAACTTTTCTGGGTTCTGAGGATTGTGAAATATATAGTAATCAACCATACGTTAAAAATACAAAGATTGCAAAATAGAACAGAATAGTTTCAATAAAATCAAGGAATGAATAGTTGGAAAACACTTCATCAAGGATAAAACCAAAATAATATCATAAAATCCCCAGCTTGACTTCAATCTGTTCCAGCCCTACATGCCCCATCTCAGTTTCGAGATGTGCCCGCTGATGTTGAACCTCCTCCAAAAAGGGAAGGCTTTCGGTCCGTCTGCGTCCGGCGCGCACCGAGGCCCCCGTCATCCCCCTCGCTACCGACTCCATCCGAGGCCAGTCCGTGTAACCTCAAGTGGATGGTCCCGGGGCTGACACTCTGTGTGACCCACTGAAGTAAATGACATGCCTTGTCGGGTCGCCTAGGCCATTCTGAATTATACATACCCTAGAAGTCGAACCACCCACCATTAGCCTTTACTTGACCGGACGCCCATTGTTTTACTAAGGATTCTACAGTACAAAACCAGATCAACCATGTGAAAAATGGTCGACTGGACTTCTAGGGTAAGTAGACTCCCAGCGACTTGTGCACCAATAGGAGCCTCATCAATTGGCTGTTCCAGCCCACCTGCGGCAGCTCTGCCACATAACCTCCGATCATCCCACACCATCTCCCCTCCCTCCCCTGCACACGCGTCTGCACTCGCAGCCCGCGTCTCTCCTCCCACGTGATCGCTCAAGCTCTCCCGCCGCCCCAGCGCGTGCAGCAAGACCCAAGCATCATGAGGCTTGTGACCTGCGGGGCCGCAGCTTTCCGATCGACCCCCGCGCGGGGCCCTCGCCGGAGAACACGAAGGTCGCCCAACACGAAGCGCGGTGTGGCCGGAGCGGACAGTCGGGACCGGTGGGGAACGAGGTTGCTCACCACGTGGGTTTGCAGATCATCTGCATTCAGAGTCTACCATGCAGTAGAGAGAACCCCACGGACTATGACTGGGTGGCCAAGGTGACATCTGAGGAGCCAAAGATCTCACATTCATGTCAGCACTCCTTAAACACGAGTCTCTGGCAGCCCTCAGAAGCGGTCACCCCAATGTGGGTCACCGAGTCCGGGATGGTCAACGTCGCCAAAGAGCTGCAACCCTTGAAGGCACCATCCCCAATGTGGGTGACCGAGTCTGGGATGGATAAGCTTGCCAACGAGATGCAATGTCCAAAGGCACCTTTTGCAATGTGGGTCACTGAGATGCACGTTCGCCAATGTGAGTCACGGAGTCTGGAATGATCAAACTTCCCAAAGACCTGCAATCGAAAAAGGCACCATACCCAATATTGGTCACTAGTTTGGGATGGTCAAACTCGCTAATGAGTTACAATTCTCAAAGGCACCAGACCCAATGTGGATTGCTGAGTCCGGGATCGCCAAGGTCGCCGAAGAGCTGCAACCCGAAAAGGGAAGATTCCCAATCTTGGTCACTGAGTCCGGGATGCTCAAACTCTTGAGAGATTTGCACTGCAAAAAGGCACCATACCCAATGTTGGTCACTGAGTTCGTGATGGTCAAGCGTTGTTCACTGAGAAACGGCATTGTGAAAGGCGCTCTCCCCAAGATGTGGGTCAGTGGGGCTGAGATGGTCACTTTGACCAGTGTACGGCGGCAACCATCGAATGCCTTTCTCACGAATGTGACTTTCATCGCTCGGGATTTCGACCGCACGCAACAGGTCCGAGTCAATGACACCACAATTGCCTCTCCTTGATCTGCTCTTGCTGTTAAGCTCCCAGCCTATCGTCTCAGGCGTGGCCTCAAGAACCATGATATCACCATTTGGCTGGAGTGCCAAAATTCTCGTTGCCATGGCTCAGATACCTCGACAAATTCGATCTGAACTTTATTTGTGTCTGCCCCCACTTTTCTGTGAAAATCGTGCACCTTCCAGCTCACACCTCTGCCCAACAGGTGGTGTTCTTCCAAATTCACTCCCTTCCTACACCTTTGCAGTGCATCCCGATCATGGCATCCTGATTCAGCGCGGTGTCGTCTGGCCCTTCGTGGCCTAGTCCCCCGTCTCCAACTCAACTGGCAGCAGCTTCTCACGAACGAGACATCATTGAACCACCAAGAGAGGTCGAGAGACCTTATAGGACCCCGTAGTGGTACATATGGGATGAGCTATGGGGCTCTTCAACCTCTCTAGGCACTTCTCGTGGCACTTTGGAGCATATACTTGGCTCTTCCCTCCCCGTCTGAAAAACCACCACTCACCACTCACCCCCCTTGGGGCTGCTGACTCCTCCGCTCCACCCCCCGCCTCGTCCCAAGAGCCGCAAGAACCGGCCGTCCAAGGTCTGCAGCAAGGGCGAGGTCAGTGGCCTAGGAGGGTCCAGCGCCGCCAGCCGTTGGCCTCACCGGATAGAGGGGTGGAGAGGTTTGGGAAAGGAGCGGAACAAAGGAAGGGGGGTTGAAGGGTTGGAGGGATGTTTAATGTCCCCTTGCTACAGGGAATCGGACAGGCCCAATTGATTGATTTTGGGTGGGATCGAAATCGGGTTCCCCTCTGCCACATCTGTGCGATTTTTTACGTCCAAAGCCTTATATAATCAGGCTCAGGTCCCACATGAAGCCCAAGTGCCACAAGCGAACTCTTCGTTTGATTGACGGCCAACCCCCCGTGGCCCTGGTGCGTGGCCATGCCGGCCCTGCGGCCCCAAGCCGAGCTGCAGAAGAGCCCTGAGCGGTATCGGCTCACCTGGCGACCGAGTTGTCCCTCGGCGGGTGCCTGGGGACCGGCGGCGAGACACATCCATCTGCTTGAGCGATCAGCCAGAACAGTGATTGAAGATTGACGTCTTGTCTTGACTCAGTTGTCCTCCCCATCTCCCGCAAAAACAAGCCAGCATGCGTCCTCATCCCCTCCTGCGCTTCTGTACTGCCATCCCTCCGCGGGTTCCCCGCGGGTTCCGCTTCCCCGCACCTGCACGAATTGCCCCTGCCCGGTGCGCTGCTGCCGCAGCAGGGCCAAACCCACTCCGCCCAAGGCTTGCTGCGCCACGACCAGCTCCGAGAGCCCGGGTGGCATCGGCACACCGTTGCACAACTGGCAGAGGCCACTGGCCTGAAGTGATGGAATTGAAGGTGATGCAGCTCTGGCAGCGAATTGAAAGCTCTGAAAAGAGTGGAACCTGACATGGATGAAAAATGACTACACACTTGCAATGAAGAAATGGACAAGACATGACAAGACTCAGCCCACACGGAAGACCAGGGGCATGTCCAAACATGATCCACCCCAGTTTCTCTTCCAAAACCACCTCCCAAAACCACCAAATAGCGCCACCCCACCAACCAGCTGCCTCCCACTCCAAACCCCCCCCCCTCTTCAAAACACAAAACCCCCCCCCCCCCCCCCAAGTCCCACCCAGTGCCCACCCAGTGCGCGCCCGCGCGCCTCCCAGAAGGCGTGCGCCTCGCGTCCGCCCTTGCGGCCCTCCAACTTCTCCCGGTGCCGCGCTTCTTCGTCGGAGCCCCAGGTGCTGATCCACACCTCGGCCGCGGGACCGGTCCGAGTGGTCGGACGGCGTACCACTCGGTCGGGGGCGGGCGAGGTGAGGCGACTTCTGGTCTATCTATCTATCTATCTATCTGTCTGTCTGTCTGTCTGTCTGTCTGTCTATCTAATATACACACTATTATACAATGATTTTTCTAGCGTACGAACGCACACTCGGGAATAGATGCGAACGAACTGACTGCGGCGTGCCACGTGCCAACGGAAGTAAGAAACCTAAGATTCGATGGGCGTGAAACCCAAAAGTACCAAGTGGAGAGGCGCCTGACAAAAAAGGACTCAAATGCACGTCTGCCGAGCTCATTAACACGTTACCGCAAACCGAGGCAAGAAACAGAGTCTGTCGGGGCCCAGGAGGTAGTATCAAGTCATCGCTGGTAAGGTACGCCGGACTGATCAGGTCTGGTTTCACCACCAATTGCAAGCGTCTTCGTTGGCATGAGTCTTGCAATGGTGTTCCTGCCCCCAAGGTGTAAACTTACACACATAAATATTCATAATTAGAGGTTCATAATTCATAAATGTCCTCCAACTTTGCGAAATGTCCGCCTTCTGGCTAGCTTTATGCGAAGCCAGGAGTTCTGCGTGAACGGCCTAGCCCGACGTGCCTGACCCCAAGGAAGAGACCCTGGATTGACCTGTTCTTTCGAACCTGCACCGCCTGCACCCTCCAAGATCCTTTTGTTGCTGACCTGTGCCAACAGCAGGTGGTCGGGTCGCAAAGTCAACGATCGCAGATCTCGGAGCTGTTGAATGTGGGAATTGAAGGGATTCCGAGCACTCACATCAACAGCACTCCACTGTCAAGTCCGACCGAGGAATGACCTGGCTAGGCCTTCTCCAAGCGATTCATAGGTGGATTGGGCACCAACGCCTCGGCCCCGAACTCACAAAAACTCCACGGCCGGGCCACGATGATCAAGTGAGGGAACATCTGCCGAAGATGCTTCCTGGGCCGAGGACCATACCGCCTCACTTTTTGGCGCATGACTCTTCCAGGACCATCCTGTCTGGGTGTGGACTGCCCTAAACTGCTCAAGGACCTCCAGCCAGGACACCCAAACAGGATGGTCCAGGTGTCCTGCTTACTGCTTCCATGGACGTACGAGAACAAACTCAGGGTCGGTGAAAAAAGACGCGTAAGATCTCGTAAGTTGTAAGGCTTCATCATCCCAAACTCAAACACTGCAACACAAGCTCGGGCCCCCCCCCGAATCCGGAACAACATCAGGTCTCCCATTCCATGCGCTTGAGGTCTCCCTCAAGCGCCCTAGGCCCGACCATGGACGGCCACTTCCACCTCCATCTGCCTCCATCCGCCCCCATCCGAGGATCGGATCGTAGCCCCAACTCTCCAGCGCTTGACTGGGCAAATTCGTGATCAACAAGGTCGTTTCGGCCAAGGCCCGGTACACCGCCGCCTGGCCGTTTCGCTGAGTCCGAAAGGTCCCTTTCGTCTCAGGTGTGCCCGTGCCCAGGTGTTGCTCGCTTGACCACGGTGTGGTCGAAACCTCAAGGGCGGTGCCAGCGAACCATAGCCAATCAAGTGTCTAAACCTGCGTGTCTGTGGCCTGTCTTCGAAGACGACCACTGGGCACCGTCCTTTTCCGGCCTCTCCCGGGGGTTTCGATGGCTTCACAGCGCCACGCGGACCGCCGCCAACGCGTGCGCCTGTCCGGGCACCGGATGTCCCTGAGCATCCTGGCCCCCGATGCCAGAGTAGTTCACCACCTGAAGCAGTGCAGGGGGGAGCCGGGTTCGGTTTCGGCCGGAGCGGCGGTCCCAAGCTCAAGTGGAAAGCAGCCGATCCATGGGGGAAAATCCCCCTGAAAATCGTGCAGGAACTTGGCACCGAAATTGCTCCACTGAACTGCCAATAGATGGCTTTGGCAGGAGTACACCTAGCAAGGCTCCACGGGTCACTTTGTTCAGAACACTTCCAGCAACAAGAGAGAAAAAATGTCATATCCTGTAAAGAAACTGGTGCAAGTGCAAATGAGTCATATGTATAATATATATATATATATCGACCACTTCCAAAACCCCTTCCCAGTGCGTGAGAAGTAGCCCAACGCCTCCACGTAGCCCTCCACCTCTTCTCCTCCGCCTCGCTTCCTTGCTTCCCTCCCCTCGCGCCTGGACGACCTTCCGCGCGGTGAGGTCCTTGTAGAGCTGTGGGCAGGTGCGCTGCCAGGGGTCCGGCCGCTGCGGACGTTCCAACTTCGTCACCTCAGTTCCCACGCCTCTCGCGGAGGCCCCGCGGTCCGGGCGCGATGGGCGTGAGGGTCATCGTGAGGCCGCGGAGGCCCATGCCACGCGTCAGAGGCAGAAGTCCGGTCATGGCGAGCATCCACATGCCCAAACCATCTTGATGTGGGGGGGTATGTGGGTCCGGTCCAGTGACTTTGCGATAAGTAGCGGCGTAGCGGCGTGGCAACCCACAAGGGCCGAGATCATCTGAGTTTCATCACTGGGGAGCTCAACCGAAAAGCAACGCTTCCAAGTCAATGACACATCTGCAAGGCTCGCAAGTCCGAGCACATCCCTGGGAGCATCTCGCTGCGCTGCGCTGGCAAAGCCACACCATCCAGGCAGTTCCCACGATGTCGCCGGCAACCAGCGTTTCTGAAGACTAAAACCATAGACCCCAGAATACCTGGTTCCTGATTCTTATGGTAACTGGGATGCACTGGGAAACTGTTGTCTGCAGCTCCTCCCAGCACGGCGAGCGTCCCGCTTTTGAGCGGCTACACTCCCAGCCAGTCATCTCTGGCATGACTCGACTTGAAAGACCACGATTACATCAATTCCCTGCAACCGCGAACTGCGAACCTCTCCACGCCATGGCTCCATGGCTCAGCTGCTTTCTCCACGCCATGGCCGTCCATACCTGTTCAATCGAACTGCGTTGCTTCTTCTCTGCTTCTTCTCTTCTTTTCGGCTGCGCAGCATTCGTCGGGCAGCAAGCAAAGGTTACTGACCAGTCCACCACTGGAAGACATCCCCACAGGCTTCGATGGTATGGCTTGGATGAGCATGGAGAAGGGGGAGATTGTTGAATATACCTAGCACTTCCTGTCCGGGTGCCCTGTCTGGAGATCCCGGATAGTAGTGCAGGGCAGTCCAGCCAGGACACCCAAATGGTCGGATGACCCTGGTCTAGGGAAAAGTGTTACTCGTCGAATCTTACCCCTTGAGAATTGGGATGCGATTCTTCCAGCTCAATGGGAGCATTGCTTGGACCTTGATCTTGATGCTGGCCTGGCTGACCAAACACTTCCCACTCCGGTGCGAATCATCATGCGGAACAGGTGGAGTTCACCACCTGACCCCAACCACCTCTTGGGACCCCAACCACCTGTTGGGACCCCAACCACCTGTAGGGATCCCCATCTCACCAACTCCACCATTTCAGGACCCCCATCCAACCCAGCGGCCCGTGCGCCCAGGTCTGCCAGCAGCGCGCCAAGCGCCATGGCACCGACCTACCGCCATTCGTTGGCGAGTGGTGTCAGGATCGCAACGTACCGAGTCATAGCCAACCTTCTTAGTTTCAAGGATGACACTGGCGCTATGACGGCCAGTGTCCACGGTCGGCCGGGTTCTTCAAAGTGACCTGCTTAGGTGCTTTTCAGGGGCCAGTGAAACAATGACCTAAAGGAGGGATCGGAAGCATTCAAAAGGAATTCATTGAAGAAGGAATCGATACCCTTGATCGATACCGTTCTTCTGGAATCGCTTGCATGAACGTGGGGGGGAAGGAACATGGGGATGGGGGCAGGTGTTTCTCTTAACCAACAGAGGTGGATAGTGACCTGAACTAGGACCCTACAGGGGTACCTATAAGGATAGTCTAGTTCGGGTTCTTCAACCTCTGCTGGAAGACCATGACTCTGAGATCAGGTCACGAGTTTCTCGTTTGTCTTCAGACCAGCCCACCAACCCGAACGTCAGAGGACGGTGTCCAGATCTTTCCTGGAGTCCATGAGCGTTTTTGAGGGGAACATCCGAGCGGAGGATGATTGCAGCGCAGAGCTTGAATCGGCACATGGTCTGGTGCGCAATACTTTGTATGCTAAGTATTCGATCGACATCCTCAGAAAGAATCAGACGAGATAACATGCAGGTGCTTCCCAAGGCTCTGTGCTCCGGTTTTGGGGGATGCCTGGTTTGCTACCAGAAGCCCATGGCCATGGCCATGGTGGTGGCCCTGGTTCTGGTGCTCAAACGTTCAAGAGTCCTCCGCCACACCTGGTACTCGTCGCTGATCTCCAGCACTGCCACACGCGCCAAAGGCAGCTCAGCGGCACAGGGGGCGGTGGGGGTCAGCACTGGAGGAAGCAAAGCTGAGGGCTCGAGCACCGACCACCTCAGACCAAGGACTGGAATGGGACAACCAGGAATATGACAAAGCAGGTGGTTCCATGTAGATGCCTCGAGCCCTTGCTATCGAGACAACAAACTGCCCTGGTTCAGCAGGTGGTTTTACCGAGTCATGGGTGAAACAGGACCGTGCTGTGCAGCTGTGAACAACGAAGGAGTGTTTCCTTTCGGCCCCCCGTCTCGGTCGGTCTCGGGTGGTGGACCCTGCGTCCTCACCAGGACCGATACCAGTCGAGGTGTTTATAAACAGCCTCGGAAAGAGGTGATTCGGGGTGCCCCAAAACCACCTGGCTGGCTTGGAAGGTCCTGGCATATGAAGTTCTGGCCGAGAATTTCAGATGGATAGTCAAACATATTCAGACGTTTTCGCGCACAAAGTTGAAAACCACAGTATAAGAAACAGGGCACCTCTAGCCTCACACGGCTGGGTTTCTCACCACACCATGAAAAGGGGGCATATCAAGACGTCCAACACTCCCAAATGCACAGGTAACCTATGCATTTATCAATAACCTTTTGCTTGCCATGCCTCACAATCCCCCTTTTCACACTGTGTGTCATGTGGTCAGCCTTGGCCGACCCCGAAGTGCCAACAGAACAGAACCATTTCTACGACATGTTCGCTATGGCCTTGTTTCGCAAGAAGAACTTCGATGACATGTTGCATCCGAATTCAAAATTAGGTACATGAATTACAGTCGCTTTGTTTGGAATTCAGAGACATTCCGACTCAATGGATGCTTGCCACTGGCCATGCCTTTGCACCAAGCTTCGTAGGTCGTTTAGGTATACCCAAAGTGGTTTGTTTTTCTCACCATTGAGGACGTAAGTCTCACACTATTCTACCCAGACCCGCTGTAAGACACAGCAAGGGATGGCGTAGAAGCGTTTCAGACCCGCAAGTGAGTGCATCCAAATCAAGGATCTGATTGAATCAAGACTCTATATACGTTAAACGATGATGGAATCCTCCAGCGGCCTCTGGTGAGGAAAGAAACGATTGCGGGCGGGATGGGTGCTCCAGCAGCTTGCCAGCATAGGACCCCTGCAGAGTCTCGCAGGTTCCAACTTCATGGGGGTGCCCAGAAGTTCGGCTCAAGAACCCTTCAACCCTCAACCCCTCCAACTTCCAAGCTGCTGAGGCTTCCGCTCCACCTTCGCTCTCTTCCCCGGTCTGCGCGCCACGCCCTCCACGTCGAACGGCAGCGCCAGCGCCTCCGCCTCTCCGCGGGGCGGTGCAGCAAGCGCCGCGGCGCCGCTGCGGTGGTGCTCCGCGGGCGCGGGGGGAGCCGCCCAGCCGGTCAAGGCACCCAGGGCCGAACACCAACGGCCCGAGCGGAAGATGCTCATCTCCACCCGGTCTCCTGGCTGAGCGGAGTATATGTCGCATGTGGTGGGGGTGGGGTGCAGTGATTGGCGAGCGCTTGCTGTGTGGAGAATGATGCTCCACACAAGGCCTCATAGTAACTCATAGTAACAGAACTCCACCTCCGGATTTGAGGCATCCCTGCCTAGGACAAGGCCGCAACTGGTCCCTCAAGGTTTGACCATAGATGACGCTTCATTTGGATTGATTCTTCATTAAGGCAGGAAAATTCGTCACCCTCACCCCCAGCACCCCTCACCCCTCCCTCTCTCCTGGCGCCCCGCAGCGCCGCCGCAGCACCGCCATGGAGCACACGCCGAAGAGCGCCGAGGCCGCGGCCGCCGCCGCCAGGCCCGACGGGCCCAGGAAGTGGCCCAGCTGCTCGGCCAAGCCTGGCGGGCGACCAGACGACCGGACGACCGGACGACTGCGGCTTGCCGGACGACCGTCAGCGAACACCGAAAAGGGCCCCACGTGTCGTCCCCAGCGCCGGTCGCGTGCGAAGAAGGAGGGAGCCGTGAGGAATCTCGGAAGCAGGTGGCCCTGCCCCTCGGCCTCCCTGGTTTGGTGAGAGAAGGGACGAGTCACGAGTCACATGGAGTTGGGTGGTTTGCAGTCCCCATTCAGTGGGTGGATGTTCTGGGCACCCTCCGACTTCCTCCAAGTTCAACATATGTCAACATTATGTCACCGTAGACCTGGCCAAGCCCAGGCCTCGGTGCTTCCGATTTATATATTTGGCTATGACCTAGAACTGGGGAGCCCATGTAGCCTGTTTATGCGGTCACTCATGAAACACCACTCACCTGTGCCTGCATGCCCTATGTCTTCCACCAAGCACCCCTGAGCTTCAAAGCTTCTTCCGAACACGCGCCTGAGAGGGAGAAGAAGGCCCCCGCATCTTCCACGCCCTTGTTGCTGAGATCCGCTCGCATGCCCACCACCGATGCATGCACGAAGATCAACCAGGGGCATTGCTGCCGCAAGCTGGCGGCTCCCAGCCTTGGAAGAACATGAGTGGCGAACCCTGCCGGGCAGCCTGCGAACTAAACCTCTACATCTCGCTTTTTTTGGGGCCGGCCTCGAAAAGAAAACCTCTTGAGAGGGTTTGCATGTTCCAGGTCTACGAGCAGTTCTGTGCCCGGGGCCGCGGACTGATCCTGAGATGGGTCTTGTGGTGCGGAGGGTGCGGAGTGCAGAGGTTTCCCATCAGGTCAAACACCTCCTGGTAGGAGGTCAGGAGGTCTTGTTGCAATGATGCCTGGGGAGTCAATGAACTGAAGGACCGACGATTCGTATGATATGAGAACTGTTTCCTCGGAGTGTGGTGTGGGTTCTCTCAATGTTTTTCCAAGACCTTCAGAACTCCGGGTGTCCTGGCTGGAGGTGCCAGTCTAGTCGTGGGCTGGGGCGGCACCGGGACCTGCAAGCCCAAAGCACAACTGGCCGCCCCAGAGTGGCAGAGTTTCAGGGCCTTCGGTTCGGATCTGGGAGTTTACCAAAAAGAAGACAAGGAAGAAAAGAGGACAAAAGAGGAGATGCCTCGTTTTCTTGTTTCTGGTTCTCAGGATTCTTGATGGATTCTTTTTACGAGTGTGAGCCAAGCCCCTCTTTACCAATCTTCGTGAATTTCCATGGTGATTGAGCACACGCCCCCATGATCTCCGGGCAGTTGTTCATCTGCATGACGCCGCCCCCACATCCCCACTGTTCGCACCGACGGAGACGACGACGAGTGGTCGACTCCGTCCGGGCGGCTGCATCTGTTCGAGCTCCTCAGCGCACAGGTCGGTCAGCAAGAGGCTGCAGCCCATAAGCAGCTCCGACTTCAGCACACTCAGCTCCTCAGGGTCCTGTCGGCAGCTGGCAAAACCTCACTCCAGCACTCCCCTGCCAATCGGAAAAGGGCAGTAGATTCAGTAGATGAAACGCACAAAGAATGTTGTTCTTCCTGTTCTGTCCGCCCGTCTGCAGCCAAGATAAACCCTGTCACACCCTTTTTCGGGGCCGTTCACGTTCAAATTCCAACATATGTTCGCAAGCCCTATACCAGTCCAGTTTGACCCAGGTCCAAACCTTGTCCTTTACCTCCTATTCCGTATCGGCTTTGTATGACCATCTCAGTAAAATGAGGTCTTTGACTTGTAGGGTATGTTCGCTCTGTGTCAGTTGTTGCACGCCCTCCAGCTACATGCAAACGAAGAACGTGTAAGAACTAAGACAACTGAAGTGCTGGTGGCCTACTGCCTTTTACAAAAAAACTGCTCGTCGCTTCTCCCTGTCTGGACCTTCTCCTTCCAAACCCCAATCCTCCACGTTGTAGGGCGCCAAACGCTTCCCCACATGCAACTGCCTGGGCACCGCATTGGGCACAGTGTCGGTGCCCGTTCCGGCGGTTCCGGAAGGGCCGCGCTGGGCGTTGGACTTCTTCTGCTGCAACAGCGCTTCCTCCCCGAAGGCCACACGAATGACCTTCTTGGCGGAAGCGACAAAAACGGCGAGAAAAGGTCGTTCTGAACGGCACTTGGGACAGACATGTTCCTATTGCTCATGTTTCAACAGAATAGACCTGGCAGTAGAAAAACTTATGTCTTTGTTTATATTTCTTGTTGCTTGTTAATTCTTGTTTATTCAATATTTAAAAAATGTCGCTTCGTTGTCGTAGACCACTTCTTGAGGTTTCAACGCCTCAAACCATTGATCAAGAAAACCGAGCTCGAAGTGCTGTCTCTCCCCGCACTCGGGAACGTCCAGGCTGCATCGGAACCGCATCGTGGAGCATGAGGCTCTCCACAATCGACGTGATCCTTTGTGGAGTCGAACTCCACTTCTTTGGGGGCTCCCTCCCTTCGCACCCGTTGGGGGCACCGACTGGAACCGGCACCCCCTCCGGCGTGCCTCGGCGCCGCAGGCGGCCATCACCTGTCCGCAGAGCGCCGCCGTCCAGGAGCGGCATGAGAGCTCCAAGACGCGCACTCCCTGCCAGGGCAGGGCGTGCGGCTGGGGCTGGAAGACGCGGGGCCCGAGCTGGTACTCCAGCTCCTGGAGCCGCAGCGACCGTGGAGTGGCCGTGGGGACAAGCGCGAAGGGAAGGGAACTACCATGGTGAATTGACATCTGGGTCATGATTTCACCTTTGCTCACCTCGGCCTATGTATGCCTATGCGTCATCGCTCAAAAAGGGAAAGCACCTGTTGGGTGGATGAGCACCTGTTGGGTGGAAGCGGCTACCATGACGGACAGGTGTGGGTTGAACGCAGTTTTTCGTGCAGAGGAGGCCGTCAAATCCCTTACCAGCACGTGTCTAGCAAGGAGGCTGGAAAGGCTGAAGATGAGATGGAAAATAGAAGACTTGCAGGTGAGTGGGGCAATGAAAATCCACCGGGTGGAGAGATGTGGGTCCCCAACATGAACAGAATGGATGCCCTACAAACCATGATCACCTATATGATACAAGTATATGCGTGTAAACCGTATGCATACACAATATATATATATATAACATCTATATATGCATATTTATACCAGGAAAATTTTAAGAGGTGTCTACAAATAGCCACCTAGAGGTGTCAGGTGTCTATAGGGGGTGTCCAAAAAATCCGGGCGAAAGAAAGCTCCCGTATACATGGTGTACATATATCAGGTCCAGTCTCTGGTCTTTGACCTATTCCCTATTGGTTTTGTATGACCATCTCCAGTATTTCATGAGGTCAGCTCCTGACTTGTAGGGCTATACATGTGTGTGTGGACGCTCTGAAGGTCCACGAAAAAGGCGGTTCGCGGCCGTGGTCAGACCTCGCCCCATCATGCCCATGGCCATTCCTTTTTTGGGACGACGCGTGTCCGAAACGCGGAGAGTCAAGTCCAATGAGACCAGACAAAACATTCGGAAGACCGGGGAATGACCAAAAACAACCACCAAAAACATTGACGCTCTTTCCACCAGTGTGTCCAGGGTCGCCAAGACTGGCGACCCATTTTTTCCACAGCAGTCCTGGACTCCCAGGGCAATTGATCGTTTTACATGTCACAGGTGTCTGGCTTTCCTCCGCTTGGCCAAAGGGAAACTCAATGTCTTCGGCATGGTCAAACTCACCAAAGAGGTGCAGCCCTCAAAAGCCAAATTCCCCACGTGCGTCACCGAGTCTGGGATGGTCAAGCTTGCCAAAGCGCTACAACAAAAAAAGGCACCATCCGCAATGTAGGTCACTGAGTCTGGAATGGTCAAGCTCACCAATGAGCTGCAATTTGCAAAGGCACAATTCTCAATTCGGGTCACTGAGTTGGGGATTGCCAAAGTCCTCAAAGAGCTGCAATCCCTAAAAGCCTCTTGCCCAATGTGGCTCACTGAGTCTGGGATGGTCA